ACATATGCTGAAGTTCACCTTGTAGCTGCCGTACCAGATATTTTATGTAAGGAACATTATTTGAGATATTAAAGCAGCAACCTCCAGGAACCAAGTCACAGCTTATACGATCTTTCAGTAGTAAGTAGTTAATGGCAGCTAAATGTAGCCAGAAATTGCTACTTTCGACAGAGAAGGAGGAATTGACCATAAGAATTACTTTAACAGTTTTTGACCAATACAGCAATGAGGCCTCTTTTCCAGAATTGACAAAGGTATACCAGAGTCTGTCAATGTGACCAGTTTTGATATGCTAAAATCAGTATTCTCCCTTTTTGATTGATCAGTCACATTAAGCCATTGATTTTCAACTATATCCCTCCCTATACGGAACAAGGGTTGATTGTTCCTTACCCATTGTACAAACCCTGCTGTTTTAATTAAGTACATGAACAAGTTAGAATTACCGGCGAACCAACAGAGGTGGTAATGTAGGTTTGGCTTGATGTGAGCCGGCAAGCTTCATTCATCTTCAGGGGGATCCCGATCAGCAATGTTATCATAATAAAGATCAAGGAGCTGCTTCGTGACATTGTCTGTTTGCCACACCAGTCACTCAGGTAACCATCGTACTTCATTGTCTTTTTGCGAGAATATAGAAACATGTCCACGTCCCCATATTAAAGCAGGGTCAGGTCCATACCATTGAGCAGTTAGAGGGTCTTTCCACTTCCCATAGACTTGTTGTCTTTTGGTTTCAGAATGCCAGTGACGATCAGCTGCAGATTTCCCTTGATTATCCAGTATTAAAAATTATAAGATGAAAAGAGCATGTGATAGCCATTTTTGCAGGGAATGGGCCATGGTCCCATATTCCCCCTTTTTTATTTTTTGTAAATAATTTTTAAATGTGGCATGTGCATGTTCCACAGTACCTTGTCCCTGGGGATAAGGAATCCCGGTGATATGAGAGATGTGGAAGTTACCACAGAAGTGCTTAAAAGAGTTGGAAGTATACACTGGGCCATTATCAGTTTTTATCTGTATAGGGGTTCCTAGAACAGCAAAGGCCTGAAGGCAATGAGAGGTGACATGTTTGGCAGCCTCGCTGGATTGGGGGGTGGCAAAAACAAAACCTGAACATGTATCTAAAGAGACATGTATGTATTTTAGTTTACCAAATTCAGGAAAATGGGTAACATCCATCTGCCAAAGCTGATTAGGCATAAAACCTCTAGGATTTACACCATAATGAGGGACCGGGAGAAATGTGACACAGGAAGGGCAGGATTTTACAATTTGCCTTGCCTGTTCCCAGGTGATTCCATATCTTAATCGTAAGGTCTGGGTATTGAGGTGATGCAAATCATGACCACGGGATGCTTCTTCTATGGAATAGACACGTAAAATACTATCAGCAAGTCTATTACCATCATGTAAGGGACCAGGTAGGTCAGAGTGAGCACGAATGTGGCCAATGTAGAATGGCTGCACCTGTTCATGGATTAAGGATTGGATATGAGTAAATAGTGGGGTAGCCCAAGAAACAGAAGAAAATACAGAACAAGTTTCCAATAGTGGTACAGAATAGAAAACATATTTACTATAAGTATAAATATTAACGGGAGTATGCACTGTAATCTGCAATGCCATGACAACAGCAGCCAATTCTACCAGTTGTGGAGAAGAAAAGGGAGTAGAGAAGGAAATGGTACACTTGTCATATACAACAGCGGCCTTTCCTTGTTTAGATCCATCAGTGAAAACGAGAGAAGCTGAAAGCAGGGGTTGAAGCTAGTGACCTTAGGAAAAATGCAAGCATGAGATTGAAAGAATTGTACAAGCTTGTTAACAGGGTAAGAATTTGAGGTCTGGCCAGAGTAATGAGCCAGGGCCAGTGGCCAATCATCGGTAAAGGAAAGAAGCCAAGAAACCTGTTGACCGGTATAAGGAAGACATATAACATTGGGCTCAGATCCAAAAATTTTCCTGGACTCTAATCGTCCCTTAGAGATCAATTCAGCAACAGCCAAATAATAAGGAACAATTGATTTTTTAGGAGAACTATTTAAGTGAATCCAAAGCAGGGGAGCACCCTGCCAGAACAAACCCATAGGTAAATAAGCAGTTGCTAATACTAAGTAATACAAGGGCTTACTGTAATCAAAGTAAGTAAGGAAATTTCTCTGTAAAACATCTTGAACCTTTTGTAAAGCTATTCGTGCCTCAGGAGTGAGTTCCCTGGGGGAAGTAGGGTCAGGATCCCCCTTTAAGATATCAAAAAGTGGCTTTAAATCTCCAGTTGTTCAATGTAGGGTAGGCCGAATCCAATTTATATCTCCTAATAATTTCTGAAAATCATTTAAGGTTTTTAGGGTGTCTAATCGTAGAGTCACCTTTTGTGGGACAATTTTTCTAGGATAAAGTTGAAAACCAAGATAGTGATATGGATAATGCAATTGCACTTTATCGGGTGCAACTTGTAAACCGTACCTACATAATTGTTCCTTCATAATGGATAAACACAGGTGTACTTCGGATTCTTTGAGTCCAGCAAGCAATATATCATCCATGTAATGAATTATATAAAGAGAAGGGAATTGAGTTCGGACACTAGAAATCACTGAAGCGACAAACTGTTGACACAGGGTGGGGCTGTTGGCCATACCTTGGGGGAGGACTTGCCAGTGATACCTTCTCATAGGTTCTTTGAAATTAACGGAGGGCACGCTGAAGGCAAACCGGCAACAATTGGCAGGATGGAGGGGGATAGTATAAAAACAATCTTTTAAATCAATGACAGCAATATATGAATTCTTTGGAATGGCTGAAGGGTTTTGGTAACTCAGGCTGCAAAGGCCCCATAAGTTGCATAGTAGCATTAACTTTTCGGAGATGCTGCAGCAGTCTCCATCTCCCTGATTTTTTTCTGATCAGAAAGATGGGGCTATTCCAGGGGGAGGTGGACAAGATGATATATCCCGCCCGCAGTTGTTCCTCAACCAGGGCTTGAGCAGCTACTATTTTTCCCTGCATTAAAGGCCACTGCTCCACCCACACAGGTTCATCAGTCAACCAATGAATTTTGTCAGCATGGGTGACAGGCTGAGCAGTGGCCACTAAGGGTTTTTTTATTTTTGAAAGTTGGCTATCAGGACTATTTATTACAGACACCTCACAAGTAGGCCCAAGGGGTTTTATCTCATTAGGGCTACACAGGATTGCACCTAATTGGGATAGGATATCTCGTCCCCATAGATTGGTAGGCAAGACCTTTAAAATATAAGGTTTAAAAATTCCGGTATGGCCAGCATCATCCTCCCATTTGATAAACTCAGCATTCTGTTCTAAGTCCTGACTCTGTCCTATCCCTCTCAACTGAGTCATAGATGGATGTTTTTTCCAGTTTCCTGTGTCTAATAACCCTTTAAAATTTTTTCCATTTAATTTCAATGCAATAATGGGGTGATCTTTTGTGATAGGTTCTAGCCAGAAAACATCTGAGGACCCACAACCTTTGTTGCCCCTACAGGTAGCCTTGTAGTTAGAATTACAGCTTAATGGAAGCAAAATCAATTGTGTGATCCGCTGTCCTGGGGAAAGTGTTATTACAACATTATCAGCTTGGGCCATGATTTTTATCTCCCCTGAATAATCATTGTCAATGACACCAGGAAAAACCTGTAAGCCTTTCATTGTTAAGCTACCGCGTCCCAAGAGTAATGCAAACATGCTGGGTGGTGGAGGCCCAAAAACTCCCGCAGGGAGGACCTGGTCCCATATCCAGGGTTAATATTGTGTGCTTAGAGACGCTGAGGTCCAATCCGGCATTCCCTGGGGTTGCTCTCCAGAGGGTGCTAATGTCCCAGACAGGTTGTTGGGGGAGGAGAGTCATGGCCCCATAGATTTCTTGTGGGGCCTGGGGCTGGCCCCTCCTCCCATTTCCTGAAATATTGTTAACTAAGGGATTGCCACCATCTTTATAGGTCCTTGAGAGGCATTCATTTGCCCAATGCTTTCCCCATTTACATTTGGGACATAAAAAGGGGGGGATGCTCCTATTTCTATTGTTACCTGAAGTATCATTTTGCGGGCAGTTCTTTTGTAAATGACCTCTCTTTCCACATTTAAAACATTCCTTCTTATTCATTTCTGCCCTTTGAGCTGACTCTTTCAAGGAAATTCCCTGTAAAGCAGCAGCCATGGCCAAACCTTTTGAATAAGAGGGGCCAATATCTGCACATCTTAATATATCCATCCAAATCATTTTTCTTTTGGTAAGGACAAAGTGCCTGCTGACAGGGAGTGTTGGCATTTTCAAATGCTAACTGGGTAACAAAAGGCATACCAGCCTCAGGATCTCCAAATATCTTCCCTGATACCTGTATTAATCTATTAACAAAATCAGCATAAGGCTCATCTGGTCCTTGAATAGTCTTAGACAAGGACTCACCAATTTTTGCTCCTTTAGATCGTAATATATTCCAAGCATGCCTGGCCACAGCAGCAGTTCCTTGGAAAACTGCAATGGGCTGAACCATTTGTCTTTTAAGGTCTTTGAATTCACCTTCTCTGGACAGCATATTGGCATTCCAATCAGGATTTCCCCCCTGGCTATTTAACTTAGCAGTGCAGCAGCATTGGTCATCAAACTCTGCTTTCCATAATTTATTGCTTTCTTTTTTAACCCTATTCCTCGCATCTGCAATAATGCCTTGACTGCCTTTACTTGACGGTTTTCCTGATGCTTGTCCCATAATGCCTGCTCAAAAAAATCTCCACAATTTTGGTGTTGGGTACTCACCACAAATTGTACACTTCTATAGTCATGACTCCATGAATCCAGGTTCCTCACTACTTCTTTAATTATCAGGTCCCATGTTCAGGCGCCACTTGTGCCGGCCTGCAGCACAAAGAACCAGGTTTCCTGAAACAGAGACTGGGAATGCAGGGACAAGGACACAAAGAATGGAGCCAAGACAAGTCCTGAACAAGGTTTTGTTTGTTTGTTTGTTTGTTTATTCAACAAATCCAGTAGTATTTAAACATGACCAGTTGTTTACAAGAAGGAGCACAAAAGATTTACATATCAAAAAGGCTTTTAAGGATACAAAGAGTTCCAGATAGGGTTCTTAATTATTGATTACACTTAGGTGATAAATGCAGGTTTCAGGTGTGACTGATTATCTATATCATCTCTTGTGAGAGATATAGTAGTGAGATAAGGTTCTTCCTGCCTCTTCCTGGAATCTCCTTAGTCTAATTGTCTGTGCCAGGAAGTCTCCATCCATATGGTTAAGTGTAAACAAAGGGAGTGACTGCCTGTGGCTGCCCACAGCTGTGAAGAGGTTATCAGATCAAGATAGGAAAGCCAGTGGTGAGTGATTGGTAATAGGGCTGAGGAGAGTCTTAGACATTTCCCCTGAGCTTTAATGTGAACCATTGCCACCCAAAATGTGTCCACAGGTTTTGCTCCCTTCTCTCTTTTGACCTTCAGAGCTCCATCTACAGGTGAAGGTCAGTGTTGCATGTTGTTTTGAATGATTTGGGTGACTCAGAGCAGTAATAATACATCAGGTACTGAAATTAGGGCCCTGAGCTTCAGTAATGAGTACTATGGTTAAGAAGAGGGGACCAAAGACACGGGAGAGTCAGGTGCTTCATGAATATTACTAAAGATTGCTATCCAGTGTTAGAACAGGTGAGAGTGGATTCAATAGGAGGAGAGTAACAAATCTTTCTTAAGATTTTATTTATTTACTTGAGAGGCAGAGTTACAGACAGAGGGAGAGACAGAGAGAAATGTCTTCTGTCTCCTTGTTCATTGCCCAGTGGCCACAATGTCTGGAGCTTAGCTGATCCAAAGGCAGGAACCAGGAGCTTCTTCTTGGTGTTCATATGGGTGCAGAGGTCCAAGCACTTGGACCATCTTCCACTGCTTACACATGCCATAACAGAGACTGGATTAGAAGTGCAGCAGCTGGGATATGAACTGCACACATATTGGGATGCTGGTGCTGCAGGTAGATTAGCTTACTATGCCATGGCCCTGGCTCTGCTTTTACTTCTTTTTCCTTTTTTAATGTTAACTATACTCCCCTAAGATTTAGATAAATCTGGCTGCTAAATTCTTCCATCTTTACAGACTGGAGCAGTTACACATACCAGGGACTGACAGCCTTGCTTTGTCCTGCCCCTGTCAGAGTGACAGACCTGGTTTGTCCAGGCCCTCTGGCTGTGGCAGTCTTGCTTTGTCCTGCCCCTCTGGGTGTGGCATCCCTGCTTTGTACCACTCCCTGGGACTGACAGCCCTGCTTTGTCCAGGTCCTATGGCTGTGGCAGACTTGCTTTGTCCCGCCCCTCTGGGCATGGCAGCCTGCTTTGTCCTGCCCTCCAGAAGTGACAGGCTTGCTTTTCCCCACTCCCCTGGAAGTGACAGCCTTGCTTTATCCCACCCCTGTGGGAGTGACATCCCTGCTTTGTACTGACCCCTGGGAATGACAGCCCTGCTTTGTCCTGCTTCCTGAGATTGGTAGCCCTGCTTTGTCCAACCCCTCAGGGAGTGACAGCCTTGCTTTGTCCCACCCCTCTTGCTGTGACAGCCCTGCTTTGACCTGCCCCCTGGGACTGACAGCCCTGCCTTGTCCTGCTCCCTGAGAGTGACAGCCCTGCTTTGTCCTGCCCCTCAGGGAGTGACAGCCCTGCTTTGTACCACCCCCTGGGATTGACAGTAATACTTTGTTATGCCCCTCTTGGTGTGACAGCCCTGCCTTGTCCTGACCCCTGGGAATGACAGTGCTGCTTTATCCTGCCCCTTTGGGAGTGAAATCCCTACTTTGTCCTGGCCCTCTATGAGTGACAGCCCTGCTTTTTCCTGGCCCTATGGCTGTGGCAGTCTTGCTTCGTCCCCCACCTCTGGGCTTGGCAGCCCTGCTTTTTCCCAACCCCTGGGATTGACAGTACTGCTTTGTTCCACCCCTCTGGGAGTGACCACCCTACTTTGTCCTGATCCCAGAGAGTGACAGCCCTGACTGCTCTTGATGAGGCTTCCAATACTTCATGAAATAAGAGTGGTGAGAGTTGATATCTTTGTCTGGTTCCAGGTCTGAGGGGAACTGACAGATGACTTTGCTCTTCTACTTTTCCTCCATCTGGTTCTCCACATGAATATAGGGTAAAATCAAGCTTTCATCCTTTTGGCTTCTCTCAGGTTTGTGACTGTGACTTGATAGTCCCGGGAAGTGTTGCTTTCCTGAGTGAGTGGGTAAACGAGTGAATCAAAACAATGCTTCCTGAAGTCGTAGTATTGCCCTGTTATGGGAACGAGTGGCCAAAGCAGTCATTGGGAAAATGTGGACGTTCATGAAAATTGTCTGTGAGAAAAGGAAAGAATGATAAATTGACTTCAGTTGATTAAACCTGCAAAGATAATCTGGGTGCAATTCATTAGATATCTATACATTTTTTCTCTATGCTTAAAGGATCAAAAAACTAGAGTGGGCAGATCCCAATAGGATGTTCATTGCTTTTTTATATTATTCTTAGAAATTATTCTTTGTAACATTTTTCTCATTTTCTCAGACATGTATTTGCTTCAATGGAGGAGTGAATGAGAGATCTCACATCTGAGGTTCCCTCTCTCAGATTCCTTCAAGAACTTGGGCTGGGCCAGGCAGGATCCAGGATCCTGGAGCTCTATCCAGGTCTCCGACTTGGGTGTCGGTGGCAGGGAATCATGGACTAGGATCAGGAAGCACCTCCTTCACATGTGCATTAGTGAGAAGCTGGGTTAGACACAGAGTCTCCAGGACTCCCAATGGAACTTGCATATGGATGCCATTGTCTCTCATGGCAGCTTCACCTGCTGCACCTTCACGCCTGCTGCAACTTCTGCTTCTTTAACTGCTTCACACTTCTGGAAGTCTTTCTTGGGACTGCTTTTCTGTATTGGAATATTCATGAATAGAGGGTAGGTGTGTGCATCGATTTCACATTCACAGGAATCAATGTTATCACGAATGGATCAGTAGCAACATTTTATAGACATGACATCCAGATGAGGGTTAGGAGAAGAGGAGGAGAATGTTATCAACCCAGGACTCTGAGGAACTGACAATCACTGGTTAGAGTTTGAACAATCATTTTCCAAATGTGAAATGCAAGGTAGACAGGAACAAAAGTTTGGTTTAGTAGTGTATCAGCAGTCGAAACCGTTTCTAGAAATGAAATGTGTGACTCCCTCTGTGGTATGTATACTATGTGTGTGTGTGTGTGAAATCATGGCTTCCTTTCTTGCATTCCCATGGAAACTGACTAGGACCCCGGGGGATCTGGAGGGGGAATCCACTTTGGGATCAGGTGATTCTGGGAGAGGGGTTTCCAGGGAGTTGACTCTGCATGAGGCCTTCAGCGCCTGACACCCTGCGCCAGCTTAGTCATGCCGGATTGCAGGGACTGCTTTTCCAAAACATCACCAAGGCTTAGTCAAGTCCCACTGATCTTGGAAAGCAACCCAAATGCTCCGATTCCCCCTGCACATGCACACTGAGCACTCTGGCCACCAGGCTTCTGTGCGCATGTGCAGCCCACAGAGCTCCAGAGCAAGGCACTGCCTGCACAGTTGTGTATTAGGTGTTGCTTGGCAACAGTTACTGTGAGTTCAGAGAAGAGCCCTGCGCCCCTGGCTTGTGGCTGCACACAGCTGCCACGGGTTCCTCAGGCCTCAGAGTCTGTGAGAGGTGGCCGTCATTCTCGGCCTGGAAGAAGGCTTACTCCTTCTCGTTTGGGAAGCGGGATCAGGTGTGAAAATGGTGGGTAGGATGAAGTCCCAGTCCGGGGTCGGTCAGCGTGGGTGGAGCGGCCCGAGTCCACCTTAGGTATGGACTACCTGACCTACCTCCTCCTGCAATAGTTCATCCATTGTCACAGGTTTTTGATGGGCTGTGGAGCTGTTTCTGAGGGTCTAATCATGTCATCTGCAGATATGGACTTTTGGTTTTCCTCCTTCTGTTGACTACCCACCTAATGTTTCATATGAATTTTCAATATGAGAGATTTATTTGGAAAATAGGAATATATTAAATAATAACCCAGAAAATAATACTTTATTATTTCTACCTGCAGCAGGACACATTCTCAATTAGTTACAAACCTGGAATCTCTTTTCCTCCTCCTGAAACTCAAGGCCATCTAGTACTGCCAACAATACATACCCACAAAGGAAAAAGATAAGACTTCATGCCCCACTTTCTACCTGACAACACCAAGTAGCCACAACTCATATTGTGTGAGAGTGCAAAAGAATACTCCAGATTACAGCAGAGAGGAGCAAAGCACCCTTAATTTCAGCATTGCACAGATGCATATGATAGAAGATACAGTCAATAGACTCAACTCCAAAGAATTCAAGGGAACCTTGGCATTTCAAATGTGAATCTTAAATAGAAGCTGAGTGAGAAAGATGTCTTCACAGTTGGTTAATGGAAAAAATTCCACTGTGAAGGATCAACTGCTATGTCTGAAAATGTGAGAGCACACAGGTCATGAAGGAACCGAACTCTGTTGGAAAGGACAATGAATTCACAGCCCAGAATGAAAGTTGATCCAGATTCACACAAGCTTAATGATTACCCTTCTTCTCACTGTGAAGAATTTAATGTGAACCCTACTGCATGGCATATGTTATGTGTTGAAAGTAGATATCTTCCTGTTCGCAGCTATTTGGGAAGTGAAAGAGCAGATGGAAGACCTCTCTGTCTCTCCATCTCTCTGTCTATAACTCTGCCTCTCTGAAGTGGAGCAGCTGAGACTCGAACCAGTACCCATATGGGATCCCAACACTGCAGTTGGTGACTTTACCCACTAAGCCACAGTGCTAGCCCTTCACTCTCTTCTTAAAATGGGTCTAGTAGGTCCTAACAGCAAGGAAATTGATCTTTCTCCAAGCATCCTAACATCCTTATAAAATTTTCTGGCACAGGCGGGCAAGAGAAATTTATTATATTGTGGATGATACATCCTTGGAATAGTGATGAAATGTTTCTATAACTCATAATCTTTTGTTACTATAAAATAAGGTTTATTCTTTCAAAGATTTATTTATTTGAAAGAGTTACAGAGAGAGGAAGAGACAGAGACAGAGGTCTTTTTTTAAACTTTTATTTAGTTAATATACATTTCCAAAGTACAGTTTATGGATTACAATGGCTTCCCCACCCCCAACTTTCCTCCCACCCACAACCCCCCCCCATCTTGCACCCTCTCCCATTCCATTCACATCAAGATTCATTTTAAATTATCTTTATATAGGGAAGATCAATTTATCATATATTAAGTCAAGATTTCATCAGTTTGCACCCACACAGAACATAAAGTGTAAAATACTGTTTCAGTACTAGTTATAGCATGAATTCACATTGAACAACACATTAAGTAAAGAGATCTCACATGAGGAGTAAGTACACAGTGACTCCTGTTGTTGACTTAAGAACTAATTATAAAATGCTCTTGGGGCCGGCACTGTGGTGTAGCAGGTAGAACCTGCAGTGCCAGCATTCCATGTAGGCGTTGGTTTGAGTCTCAGCTGCTCCACTTCTGATCAAGGGAGCTATTGCCTGGGAAATTAGTACAAGGTGGCCCAAGCCCTTGGGCCCCTGTACCCATGCGGGAGACCTAGAAGAAGCTTATGTCTCCTAGCTTCAGATCAGAGCAGCTCTGGACATTGTGGCCATCTGGGGTGTGAACTAACAAATGGAAGACCTCTTTTGCTCTCTTTCTACCTACCTGTAACTCTGCCTTTCAAATAAATAAATAAAATAAAAAAAAGCTCGAGCCAGCACTGTGGCACAGTGGGTTAAAGCCCTAGCCTGCAGTGCTGGCATACCATATGGGCACCATTAGAGTCCTGTTGTTTGACTTTCATTCCAGCTCTCTACTATGGCCTGAGAAAGCAGAAGATGGCCCAAGTCCTTGGGCCCAAACACACATGTGGGAGACCAGAAGAAGCTCCTGGCTCCCAGCTTCAGATTAGCTCAGCTCTGAACATTGTGGTCATTTGAGAAGTGAACCAGCATATACATGACCTCTGTCTTGCTCTACATCTCTCTGCAATTCTGCTTTCACATAAATAAAATGTCTCTAAAAAAAAAGCTCAAGTTGACAACTTAGTTAGCAGCAAACAAAATATCTTCAACAAAAAATATATCACCACAGATATAGAAAGGCTTTACATCATAATAAATGGATTATACATTAGGATGATATAACAATTATAAATGTTAATGTACCAAAAAACAAAGCCTCCAAAGGCAGAAAACAAAATTCACACAATTTAACAAGAAATTTAAAAAATACAAGTAATATTAGACAATTAATATATCTCTTATAGTACTAAAACATAAAAATCAGTCAACTATACATGTGAATGACAGCATATTGACCTAATTAATATCCATAGGCCACTCTGTGAAAAATAATCACCAAACAAAACATATGCTGAGTTATAATTAAGGACTAAAATAATAAAACATTCTGTCTGATCATACTTTCAAGGTAGAAGTCCATAAGAAAAAAAGAAAACCAGAAGAATCTCCAATATTTAAACATGAAGAAATATATTTCCAAATAATCTATGAGTGAGAGAAGAACTCACAAGGTAAATCAGAAAGTATGTTGAACAAATGATCCCATAACAGTGACATCTGGGGCATATTAGTGATGGGACATGCAAGGTGGGTTGACTGGGAGACCACATGGAATACCTGGATGAGTGATGGTAAGGAGAAGAAAATAGAAGAGTTCAAGGAGAAAGATGAGAAATCACCAGTGAGGTCATGTTAAAAAAAAAAGAAAAAAAAAATTCAGGAGCAGATCACTTACATTGGTTTCAAATATTGCAGAGAAAAAATTAAAGAAGAGGGTAGGCATTTAGACTAGTGTCTAGGATGTCAGCTGAGAAACCCTAATCCAAATTCAGAGTGCCGTGGTTTGATTCCCAACCCTGATTCCTGATTCCAGCAGCTTGCTAATGCAGATGCTGTGAGGCAGTAGTGATACTCAAGTAACTGTGCAATGTGGGCAAGGACTACATTCCTGCCTCTCAGCTGTAGCCTTAGGCCAGTCCTGGCTGCACTGGGTATTCCAGAACTGAGTCAATTGAGTTCTGTCTCTTTTTTTCTGTCTTGATCTCCCCCACTCTCAGTCAACCTCTCAAATATATATATAGGCTTTGACCATATATTCTCGGTAAGTACTTGAAGAATTGAATTTTGAGAATTTTGAGTAGGTTAAATTCCAAATGAAGAATAGAATGATTTGCCCAAATATATAAATTTACACTAGCTCCAGCATGGCTGGAAGAAATGTATAAGAGAGTTCTTTAAGAAAACCACTGTCCACTATATCACCTACAGGACCAATAAAGACTATTTTAGGTTTTACATCCCACAAGAGTGCTCTAAGTTTCAGCTTGAATTATGTATTGAATAGCCTTTTTGTTATGTAATCAGAAAAACCAGAGGGCAATTTGCAATTAGAATACATGGTTCTAGTGTGTTGTAAACATAACTTTATCTTGTTTATGTGTATTCTGCAACAGTGAGTTTTAATTACTTTTACATTTCCATTTTAATTATCACAACCTCTTAAAGCTCCTAAAATACAACATAAAACAATGGAGGAATAAGTTAATAAGAACTTACTGGAGATGTCTTCATTATCTCAGACACATGTAGAGGTCTCTAGAACTGTATCTGTAAAGGAATGTGAATGGAGGGAGTTGTGAGAGAGCTGATCTGGCTTGCTCCTACATTCTACTGCACTAAGCAAGATCATACTGTGTTGAACAAGGAATACAGAATGAGCCGAGAAACAAAAGCAATGAGCCTCCCTGTGTGAGAACAGTGCTTTACAAATTATCAGGTTAGTGAAATTATTTATTTGCTACTTACTTTGCTGGTTTGCTCCCCCAAAGCCTACAATAGATGTGATCAAAACCAGCACCCATATGGGATGCTAGCAATGCAAATCATAGCTTAACCTGCTGTGCCACAATGTCAGCCTCAATTCTGTAAGAAAAATGTTACTGAAGAGAACTAATTTCTATTTTAAGGATTATTGTTCAAATCATTTTCAGTACACCATGGAAAAAATATAATGCTGTCACTAAAACCTACATTAATAAATGCTTGGTATGTGTTAAGCATTTCTAATTGATACAGATGCACAATGCAGGGCTCCATGTTACTGTTTATAGAACACCTCTTGTGGTTGTATCCCTACAAATCCAAATCCATAGAATTTATGCACCTTGTCATTTAGATTTTTCTCCCCACAACTATATAGAAAAAAAATGGACACACTATAGTACATCATTGCAGTGCATTTTTCTGGTACTTGGTCCAAATGACACACCTTCTGGGATCCAAGCTTTAACAGACTCCTTCAACACAATAATCCTTGCCTTTGCCATTTCACTTCCTTTATTCCATGGGACATCAGTGACTACAATACTAACATACTTTGAAAAGTAGGTACCTGCTGGAATTTGCCTTATCAGACAGTCATCTGGTGATGAAACCTGGGACTTGCTTGATGGGAGATGTGGGTGCAAGCAAGAACTACAGAAAATAACCAAAGGAGGGATGGGTATTGTGGTGCAGCAGATTAAGCTGCTTCTTGGGATGAATCACATCCCAGATCAAAGAGCTTGGTTTGTGTCCTGGCTATTCTATACCTGCAATGCAACTTCCTGCTAATGTGCCTGGGAGGATAAGAACTTGGGTTCTTGCCATCCCAAAGGGAAAACCCAGATGTAGTATATGCCTCTTTATTTCAGTCTGGTAGTTATGGACATTTTGGGAGTATGTTTCTCAAGTCACCTGTGTCATCCTTCTCAAAGTTCATGTGAAATTTGAAACATCACCCAGTTTTTGCTTACAGTTAACATAAGAGAGCATCGCTAAAATCTTGCTCACTCTGGGCAGAAGGATCAACAACTGCTTGGGCCTTAGCCATTCTAGGATTCCCTTGCCTAGTCCATGAAGCTCTAGGGAGAGGGTGTGCACCAGAGGGGTGTCCTTTCATGTGGATTCCAACTGATGGAGTCCACTCCTTCATTCAGCATGAACCACTTTGTTAGAGAGGAAATGGGGTCTTCATCCAGAACCCTAATTTCCACCATAAACCCACTGCTCATGAAAACCACACTGTGTATAGACTTCTATGAACTCAAGGAAGGTACTGGGCAGGCCACACATCACAGAAATGGAACAGACCTTTTACTTGTTGGTGAGACACCACAAAGACTCCACAAACCAAACTGCCCCATAGTAATAGATCTTGCACACACTTCACAGTGATTTGGATCAGGATTTGGGAGATATTTTACTGGTATGTGGAATGCCCTCATGCTTCAAATGGATAAACCAATGTTATACAGGTCAGTAACAGGATCCTTCAGTGGCTGAGCTTGAAATATTCTTACTGTACACTTTCCTGCTCATGTGGTCTGCACAGTCCCCTTGTCCCACTGCAATCTTGCATCGACCACATTCATGGAGCTTCTGTAATCAGCTTCTGAACATCTGTAAGCACACAGAGTCATTTAGCTTAACTGCTATACCACAATCTCAGCCACTGACATGGGAATCTCTTGAAGCACAGCCCACAGAACCCCTTTCCTGATTCCCGTTCAGAGGATCCAGTGCCACTGTGGCTCCCACACAGACTGAGGCTTATGGCTAACACCTCAATATCCGGACTCAGCCGCCTGAGTATCATGTGTGTTTCTGCTCCACACAGTGGAGAATGCATGTCCCACTTCCCAGGGCTCCCCTGTGGCCTGTAGGATCACCTTTTCTCCTGGGATCAACCTTCAGGGATACAGAATCCATTTAATCCATCAAGCAGCATTGGGGGCCACAAAGCCTGAAATTTCTAGGAAAGGAGAGAGCAGAATGGCCAATGCTCTGAATGATCCTGAAAAATCTTCTCACATGGTTTTGTGCCAGTGACACCATGGCATGGGAAAACACATTTCCCACAGCCTCAGCACTCCTCCTATCAGGAAATAAGAATGATTCATCTATTTCCTAGGTACTCAGTCCTGCTGTCTGGACAGCATACATGATGTATCAGAATTCACCTGCAACCCTGTGCTATCCAAGTCAAATTCTGATGAATCTTAGCTTAGCAAACTCATGTTTCAAAGAAACATATGAGGAATGGAGAAAATCAAATGTGAACACAAGACTTGATGATAATTGTCACTACTTTTATTTTAAGTTCTGGTAGTTATATTGTAGTTATAGAACCCCTGTTACTTCATATGGATGCTTGCTTAAAGCACGAGGATAGGAACAATGACTCTATTCTACTTTAAGACACTGAAACAAATAAACAAGGTTCTTAGGGCTACTCATGTCTAACCCTTTATAAAGATGCTGGCTCTCATGTATTGCAATCATCAGTGATGCATCAATGGATCATATTACACACTTGGGGAAACTCTACTAGTGCACATATTGGAATAAAATAAAATTTATTTTAACCCCTATAAAGGTGGCCCCCATGTTCACTGAACTGGTAATATCAGTGCATGTGTTGAAAAAGACATGCCCGATGATAAATTTAAACTCTTAGTTATTACAAGTGGCGGTCAAAGATCAGAAAAACCCACAATGATTTACTGTGTGGTTAATTTAGTAGATAATGCTAAGAAAATAAGAAACCCTGATTAAAAATCTTGCTGCACACTTTTGGGGAGTATAGTCACAATTTCTGGGAAAGTATCTGATTTTGCTTACAAAATTGATTAGATTCAGTTTTTTTAAGATTTATTTATTTACAGCAAAGTCAGAGTTACAAAGAGAGAAGGAGAGGCAGAGAGAGAGAGGTCCTCCATCCACTGGTTCACTCTCCAATTGGCCACAATGGCCAGAGCTAAGCGAATCTGGAGCCAGGAGCTCCCTCCAGGTCTCCCACATGGGTGCAGGGGCCCAAGGACCTGGGCCACCCTCCATTGCTTTCCCAGGCCAGAGCAGAGAGCTGGATCAGAAGTGGAGCAGCTGGGACTTGAACCAGTACCCACATGGGACACCAGCACTGCAGGCTGTGGCTTGACCTGCTATGCCACAGCACTAGCCCCTCTGATTCAGTTTGTAAAGGTTTCTGCAGTTGAACCCCACCAAAGGAAATTTTCATTTCAAATTTGTGGAGACATCTGCCAGGTTATCCTCCAAAGAGACTCTACCATATTATATGCCTCCCAAGTGTGAGTGTGAGGCCCTCACTTCCGCCTACCTTCATCAACAAGTGTTATGTTATCACACAGCCTGTTTGCAATTCCTCTATCACAAAGACTGCTACCAGCCTGGGAAAGCAGTGGAAGATGGTCCAAAGGCTTGGGCCCCTGCACCCATGTGGGAGGCACAGAAGAAGCTCCTGGCTCCTGGCTTCAGATCGGCCAAACTTTGGCCGTTGCAGCCATTTGGGACGTGAATGAGCAGATGGAAGACCTCTCTGTCTCCCCATCTCTCTGTCTATAACTCTGCCTCTCTGAATAATTAACTGAAAAATAAGAAAAACAAGAACTGCATCTAAGAGTTCTACCTCCAAGTTGTACACGTGGGTATTTTATAAGCCAATTCAGTCCCCTAATATTGTGCTGTTCTTTAAACAAGCATTTCTGTGTGTATCCATATCCCTGAATACAGTGCATATGTGCCATATTTATTTAGCTACTTTTAGACTACAAAACACACCTGTGTGACCTTCTCCATCTCAGCCACCCTGCAAGGCAGGGCAAGGATTACCCGCTTACTCTCACTTTTTTAAATTTTTTTATTATTTATTTATTGCCACAGAGTTAGACAGTGAGAGAGACAGAGAGAAAGGTCTTCCTTTTTCCATTGGTTCACTCCCCAAGTGGCTACTACAGCCGGCGCGCTGTGCCTATCTGAAGCCAGGAGCCAGGTGCTTCCTCCTGGTCTCCCATGTGGGTGCAGGGCCCAAGCACTTGGGCCATCCTCCACTGCCTTCCTGGGCCATAGCAGAGAGCTGGACTGGAAGAGGAGCAACCAGGACAGAATTTGGTACCCCAACCATGATTAGAGCCCTCAATACTGAGGGGTCCTTCACACTCTATCAAATGGGCTGAAGCCAGACATTGGCTCTCAGCAAAGAGGTTCATTTACTCTCACAACCACTATCTCTTGAGCCAAGCACAACATGAAGTGATACACTGGATACTGTGACACAAGGAGACAGACATACACTTACTGGAGATAAACAATGAAGCAAATAATTACAATGAAATGAGATGAGCCTTTTAAAGGGAGGTAGGAAATTACATTAGGAGTAAATCCCACACAGAAGTCTAGAAACAAGTTTGAGGAAGGCAGCCCCTAGTGGTCAGGTATCTAAAGCCACCAGACCTCACCCTGAGCCCTTTCTGTAGGTCATTTAACCTCACAGCCACCAGCACTGCCCCAGGAAGGGGCAGAACTTGAAGCAGAATGCCAATCTGCATGTGCCCCTAACTAATCTGCCACTTCCCACCCTCCAGCACTTATTTCTTTACAAATTAGGATTTCAAAACTTGAGAGCTGGGAAAGAGAAAGGGAGTGCTGATTTAAATACAAACAAACAAACAAAACAACCCTCCAGCCCCTCCTGGCAGTATATAGCAGTGAGATGAGCTGGTGGGAGCCCAAGCCATACCAAAGCATGCCCAGCCTCCCCCACATCAGGC